CCTCCTCTAGGAATGCATTTTGAAGGTCGAAGTTGGCGACTTCATTCAGATATGCGCTCTGGAAAGTGAAGAATTTGGGGTCATGCCGCAGCATTTGATCGCGAACAGCATCTGGCGCATTCACTAGGAGAGTAATTAGACTAAAATCAACCCTCTTCTCCGGGAATAGCGACATACTATTGGCAGCATTGGCAGCGCCTCTCCGTCCAAACCTAGGCGCCCAGGCCTTCTCGAATCCCGCTTCTAGGCTCTGTCGAGCCATGTTGTCCCTAAGTATAGAATATTGCATAGCTTCGTCCTCGGACAAGATACCACCACGAAAGGCCCGACGAAAAAACGGGATTTTAAGCTTGGACTTCTTCCATCGTAGAGGTAAGCAGTCCTTGCCGGGTGGAATCTTGGTCGCAGGCACTGAGCTCGCATCCTTCAGGGAATCCGCATCAAAAGCCCCGTCGGATAGTGCAAGAGAGAGGAAGAGCAGAACAGGACAGAAGATCAAGTGCTTTGGAAAGGTTGAAAAGAAAGATAGTCCTAGAACCTATTAGTATATATAATTCGCTACGACCGGGCGTCAACATACGGTTTTGGCATATTATCGCATCCCTTATGATGAATAAATTTAATCGACATAGCCAGTCTCTCTCGCCCCGTAGCAGGATCGCGGATGATTAGCATTTGTATATCCTCGTAGCAAAGGGCCTTTGGACGGCCCCTTCCAATGGTCTCTTGGAGCAGAAGCCTATCGAGCTTGCTAGAATCCTCGTTTGTTACCTCTTCGCTGGCTCGCTTGCCTTGGTCGTCGACTGCGCCGCTGTCACCGGCCGACATAATAGCTTTCGACCCAAAAATCTGCTCAATGGAGCCATATTTCGGTCTCTGCTTCTCGTTATCCACTAGCTCGGCCGGCCGCGCTCCAGTATAGCATATTATCATATAGCAGCCGGCCATGTGAAGACGCTGCCGTTCGAGGGGGGAAATACCGGCATCATACGCAATATTGAAAGTCAGGATAACTCGCAAGGAGTCTACATTGAGAACCGGCTTGCCGTCGATATTAGGCGCATGCAGGCCAAAGCGAGGGACGAGGACGTTGCCATGGTACTATTAGCGGGTAAGTAAAGGTCTTCAAAGGACGGAAGGGAATTAAATTAAGCATCTCGTACTTTGTAAAGCTCCTCTCCTTCATATCATTTCTATTAGGAAAGTTCCCGGTCATTTGGGTATAGAGCAGCTGAAGTTGACGGATATATTGTTGTGATGTGCCCCGGGATTTGATATTATGGTTTTCACAAACCCAAAGGAAGAAGTCTTGAATCGTTGCGCGAGGTAGGCTCTTGATCGTATCTCTCCAGTCTCCAACGTTCATTTCGGTACAGTAACGTTATCTATTTCGAAAGGTTAGCTTATTGGGGTAGAAAAGGCTTGGATGAGACGTAGTAAGGTGTTACGGACCGCTTCCATTTCCTCAAGATACCGCTAATATTGATCTCGGTTCCAGGTGCGTAGTTCCGCCTGATGAAACTGACGCCCTCTAGGGTCGTTCGGTGTGCAGCATGCTCCTCGGCCGACAGAGGCGCTGGCCGTCGCTTGGCTAGCTCTCGATTGTGTGCTTCTTGAGTGGTAATACTATTGAGGAAATCGGCATGATGGTTGAGGACGCCATTCGCCGCTGTCGGGCGACGGTGAACGGCCATGGTTCCGGATAGCATCCAGGGTAGTAGTTGCACGAAAATTGCCCCAATGCTCCTAAAAGCGGCCGAGAATGTGACGTAGGTAAGTGGTTTTGAGTAATTCGGACGACGCACTGTGTAGAGCTTGATAAAAACAATAGCACAGGAAGAAGTTTTGTCAAGCTTGAGGAGCCATGAGGCGGCCAGTTTGGCTTGTTGGTTACGAAGAACTCCAACGGGGCGGCGCGGGCACAGATCCCAGATTCCACCATTAAATGCCTCCGCCGCATGCCTCTTTGGCTGTAGGTGCTATTATCGAGCAAATGTAGCATTTAGGTTGAGCGCCGCTTTCTCTGTGTAGAGTTGGTTTTCTGTCTCTCGGAGCTATTTCCAAGCGACCTAATCGTTGGCTGTGACGGAGACGGAGACGGAGATGCCCGACATCCTGCATAAGCCAACCCCCCTGTAATACGCCAAGGCTGCGCTACGAAAGTTGGATGGATGAGACAGGTACGGAGTACCCACACGGTACTTGTAGGAGACCTGTGCGCTTGGTGTTAAAGCCGCCGAAAATGGCAGCATACGCCAGCCAAATTCGGCGGCCAGAACACCGCTTTCTCGGTTTATGGAGTAATTATATTGTATCTTATATATATATTTGCACAAGTTTATATCGCCAGCCAGCTTGTTTACAATTAATTCATGTGGTTCAGATATTTCTCAATTTCCTGCTCTCTTTTCACTCACTCACTCACTCACTCCTTATATTTCTCACATCTCACATTTCAAACTTGAAACAAATGCGATTGGTATCTAGATTGAAATCTTATAAAACTGAGGTCTGGAGATATCTAGATGAAGGAATACGACAGAGTTTGTGGTTATTTTTTTTTTGTTCATATATACATCCTAGTTGTACAATCCATCACCGATTTCCTCCTTGTCTTCCCTTCCATCCATATCTACGTAGGTATAGTATACACGAGTAAAACAACGCTGAAGGACCATGTCGGCTGGCAACCAACTACACAAGCGCCTGCCCCATGAACATGCTGCGCTTGACCTCGGCAACCACGTCGCGGCGGTCGTCGCGGCCGACGAGCACGAGGCCGCGGCCGCGGCGGCCCATGCGGCCGGCCCTGCCCAGCCGGTGGACAAAGTCGATGGAGGTGTGGGGCACGTCGTAGAGGATGACGTGGCGGACGGCGACGGTGTCGAGGCCGCGCGAGGCCAGGTCGGTGGCGACGATGACCTTTGTGTTGGGCAGGTGGCGGCGGCCGGCAGCGGCGGTGGCGGTGGCGGCGTCGATGAGCAGCGGCTCGCTCGACGTGAACGAGGCTATCATCTCGGACTGGCGCAGCTCGGGCGTGTCGCGGTGCAGGGCCACGGCGTCGACGCCCTTGGACACGAGGTACTCGGCCACCTCCTGCGTCGTCTCGCGCTCGTTGACAAAGACGATGATGCGCTTGACGTCGATGACGCCCTTGACGGGCCCTTCGTGCTGGGCGGCCTCCTTGCCGATGGACCAGATGGCGTCGGCACAGGCCAGGTTCTTGTTGTTGCGGTACGGGTCCTTGGACACGTCGATGACGCCCAGCTGGACGCGCCGCGGGATGGCGTGCAGGTTGGGCGTCGTGATGCGCTCGACGTCGGGGAACTTGGACTCGAGATACGTGTCGAGCCGCTTGGGGATGGTGGCCGAGCACAGCACAAACTGCTTGAGCGTCGGCATGCAGCGGTCGATGATGGACGTTGTCTCGGGCGAGAAGCTGCGGTCCAGCAGCGAGTCGGCCTCGTCGATGACGAGGTGGCTCACGCGGGAGAGGACATAGGGGTCCGAGTTGGCGATGGACGCCAGCAGGTGCGGCGTCGCGACCACGAGGTCGATTCCGGTCGGGCTGTACAGATTCCGCTGGATCTTGAGCGCGTTGTGGTTGGCCGACAACGGGCGGGCCTTGAACTTGGCTACATGGGAGATGTCTTTGGCTACGGCGACGACTTGGTCGACGAGCTCGGCGGTGGGCACCAGGACGGCGGCGCGGGGCCGGGCCATGTTGGGGTGCGGCTCGAACTTGTCGATCCACTCGGACATGGGGCGGTCGCCGCGAAGAACCTTCTCGGCCTCGAGGCGCTTGTTGTAGGAAGCGAGGGTGGTGTCGTCGGCTTCGGCAAGCTTCAGCGCGTTGGCGATGGGAAGCAGATAGGCAAGCGTCTTGCCGGACCCAGTCTCGGCGGCCAGCAGAACCTCTTTCCTGTCGGGGACGACTCGCGGGCGGCGCCTCTTCGGGTCCATGTGCTGGCCAAGGAGTGCAGGGATGGCGAGTCTCTGGATGGGCGTGGGCTTGATGTCAACCATGCCCTTCAGAACCGAGGATGCAATGGCATCTTTGATGGAGGGCAAGAGGTCGAAGAGACCGAACGAGTCGACGGCCTGGATGCGTTCTTTGACACTGGCGCGCTGGCCGTAGCTGACCGACGTGAGACTGCGCTGCATGTTGAGGGCCTTGAAGCCGCGCCTGTCCCGCCTGCCTCCCTTCTTGCCCTTGCCGTTTTCCTGGTCGTCTTCATTGCTCAGGGGGTCTCGGGTCACGGCGCCGGGGAGCGGGGCCCTTCGGCGCGTGTCGATGTTGGCGACGGTGCGGTTCGTTCCGGCCCAGGGGCCGTCGGGGCCACGGGGCTTGGTTTTTTTGGCAATGGCGCCATCGGCGGTGCGTCTCGGCGACGACCGCGCAACGTCAGTACGGTCGGACAGGACCATTCGCGCCGGGGCTGGTCGTCGTTCTAGTCGCGTAGCGAATGCTCTCGAGGCCGAGCCAGGCGCCGTCGACATCAGCGGCCTGCCTGCCTCCACAGCCCTTGGCCTGCCTGTTGCGCCCGCCGATGCGCAAAGCAGGCATACCGAATCCCGCGCTGTCCTCCACATGATCACCGATGTAGGGGGTTGGTGGTGGTGTTGCAATCCGTGGCAACGCTTGCCATTGTCAACTTTTACCCCTAAGCGAAGCATACCTACTAGCTTGCCTGCTGGTCTCCAAAAATTCGGGCTCTCCAGTCTTCTGCCGCTCTTCACCGCTTGAGACCCCTGCACCAGTCAGGGCCGGCAGGCAACTCAAGTCTCCACATTTCTTCCATTTCCTCCAACCCCCAACCCCCAACCCCAACCCTAGCGTAGCGAAGCCAAGCGAAACCCCGCATAAAAAATTAACTGCTAACAGCTCACAAACCAGTTCCCCTCGTTCCGGATAATTCTGAGACATAATCTGCATTACCGACAGCTCTTCTCCAACAAGCGAAGATCCTTTCGGATCAAGCGATTCGCTAGCGACAAACGGCCTTGTGGCGCAACGGTAGCGCGTTCGACTCCAGTGAGGATATCGAAAGGTTATCCGTTCAAATCGGGTCAGGGTCATTTCTTATTTTTGATCTCTTCACGCTCTGTGAATAGCTCACTCTCATTGTTACTATTTTTGTATACTTACTACTTTAACCAATACCACTCCTTATTACTTATATTTATTTATTGTAAAGTAGAATATGTAACTAACACAGAAGACTTCCTCATCGCTTCCCATTGAATCCCAGTACTTTTCATTGTTTCTCAGAGCTTTTTACTCCACTTGTTTGAGTCTTTTCATCTGCTCTACCTTCACACTGTCTATAGTTGCAATATACTCCTCCTCGCAACTTTAACTGCCGTCCGAGCCTCGAAACATTCAGACAGTGACAAAGAGTTACCGTGCAATTTCAGCACGCAATAAGAGCTGTGGCAGCATCGCAGAACTCTCTTGGTAGCCAAAGTAGTAAATTAGGAAGAGAGGGCTTATTTATTAATTAGGCCGCTACCAACTACCTGCTGTGCATCACCGGCCGACACTGCTAGGCCAGGCGAGAAGGAGGCAATGAATGTGTGTGTTCCGTCACCGAGACCATCATACCTGCCTGTCATGCCCGTATTGATACAATCTCGTGTTAATGATCCTGCTCGCAACACCCGTTCACCCTATATCCACAGCAACTGAACGGACCGTCATCGCAATCTCCCTCGCATAGTCTCGCCTGCCCCCTCAGCACCCACAGTAAACAAGCCTAGAAAAACAGACTGCACGCCCTCAACACCGCCGTTTACTTTGTTGTCTGACCGTGCCCATCCCTAGCTGCCAATTTCCACCACCCAAACCCCATTACAGCCGCGGCCGTGCCTGCGGTCAGCAGCCTAAGACGAGAGTCAACCGATGAATCGCAGTACGCCGGTGCTAGCCTTACGTCTTCCGCCTGCCGCCGCACAGTCTGCCGAGAAACCCTCCGATCCAGTCCACAAAGAGCAGTCTGAAGAAGGCCCTGAACCAGCCACCTCCTCGGTCCGTGTGTATGCCGGTTGAGTGGGTAGAAACAGGCGTTTCGGGTCGCTCACCCGACGCCGCCCTTTTCCTCTTCCTCAGCTGGCCCGAGTCGCCGGCGTCTGCCGTCTCGGCCGTTGCTCCGTTAGATGTCTCGCCCCTAGTGCCGTTTGCGTGTTCGATGTGGCCATCATCGTCCGAGTGGTGGCTGTCAGCGTCGCCGTCCGCATCCTTCACATGCTCAATCACGATGCGCGGGCTTTGCGTTCGGGGCCTCTCCGGCTCTGTCGGTATCGGTTTGCCCGAAGCTGGGCCCGCCACAGCTTTGCCATTGCTCGTCTGCGGCTTTGCCGAGTCCGAGACCCCTGGAGCCGGTTCAGATTGACTTCCCAAGGTAGCTTGTTGTAGCAGCGTCGCCATCCAATCGGGAGGCAGAAGGTCCCCATTTTGCCCCTTGGGCAATCCATTGCCAGTTTTCAGGTCAATGCCTTCGTCCTCGTCACTACCAGGTGACACCATATCATGGGACTCGGACGGCTTAGGAGGATCAGAGGAGAGCATCGCCGGAGATGATCGGCTTTGGTCGCTGCCGCTAGGTTCTTCACCCTCTGAGATAGACTGAAGCGACAATGCTGACGAATGAGCGGAACTGATGGAGCCACGAGGCGACCTGGGAACTGCCAGGCGCCTCGGTGCCCGGGGAAATAGGGGACTGACAACTATAGGACTCGCAGCGATTGGCGAAGACAGGAAATGGTCGCCGCCCAGGATGTCCTCCGCGCCCGGCCGCAATGAAGTGACAATAGGAGAGGGAGGGACACCTTCAAATGCCGGTTGGTCCTCTGCAAGGCCCGTTTCTATCTTCCGAACCGTGTCGATGATCTCCTCCCGATTCGACGGGAAACGCTCCAGTGTTGGGTCATTGACATCAATATTGTCGAGATCCAACTCCTCTTCTTCCTTGGGGGACTTCCCTTCGTGTTGGCGGGCCTCCTCGGCTTCATCTGCCCTGGGCCCCCCATCGTCGTCATACAAACCAGCATACTCGTAGGAAAAGAGGGGTGGCTTATGATCGTGTTCGTCGTCCTCATCTTCATACCCAACTTGATGCTCTTCATGGTGGTCTGGGATGCTGAAGTTGTCCGGACGCACTTCCAACTCGAATGCAGCCTTCGAGGTATTCAGTCGGTTGCACTTTTTGGTTTAGACGGGTGAGTCTTACCTCTTCGTTGTCCAGCGCCTTTGCCGTATCTGCCACCTCTGCAGCAGTGTTTCCAGTTTCAGCAATAGGGGTAGCTGAGCGGGGACGAGCTTCGGTTTTCTCCGCATCCTCGTCCGGCTTTTCGGGTTCTGCTTGCTCTTCCTTGTCAAGAAGGGCTGCAGACTCCCCGACCTCTGCTGCGATACCTGCACTTTCCGCAAAGGGCGTCGCTGAACGCGAGCCGGATTCGGGCATTTTAGCGGCCTCGGAAGGCGCTCGAGACTGTGGCTTGTCCTCTCTATCCAGAAGAGCGGCCGAATCGCCTACCTCCGCTGCGATATTCGCGCTTTCCGTAAAAGGGGTATTTGCACGCGGGCTGTCTTTAGAGATTGTCGCCTTTTCAGATTTCACTTCCCTATCCAAAAGGGCTGCCGACTCGCCCACCTCTGCTGCAATATTGGCGCTTTCCGTAAAAGGGGTGTCTGAACGCGAGCTTGTTTCTGGTTTTTCTTCCTTATCTAGAAGGGCGGCTGACTCCGCTACCTCTGCTGCAACATTGGCGCTTTCCGTAAAGGGGGTGCTGGAACGTGGGCTGTCTTTAGGAATTGGCGCCTTTTCTGGTTTCACTTCACTGTCGAGAAGGGCGGCCGACTCGCCAACCTCTGCTGCAATATTCGCACTTTCTGTGAAAGGGGTCGTTGAGCGTGGGCGAGCTTGTATCTCTGTCTTCTCCTTCGGCTTCTCCTCTCTATCAAGGAGGGCGGCGGACTCTCCCACCTCAGCAGCAACCTTTGCGCTATCTGTAAAAGGAGTAGTTGAGCGTGGATGAGTCTCAACCCTCTCAGACTTATTCTTTAGCTTTGGAGTCTCGGGTTCCTCCGGCGCAAGAGAAACTGACGATCCAACCAATTCTGCAGCAACGTCCACATAGCTTCGTGTAAGATGGGAGGGACGGGCATCGGAAGAGGGTGAAGGGACTTTGCCTGAGCTTTCGGCCGGCTGGGGTAGACGATGCTCAGTTTTCGGCGACTCGGTCTCTGCCTTCGAGGGCGTCGTATCGTGGACGGAATTCGTATGTTTCCCAGAAATGTTTGCCGTGTCCAGTCCCACACTTCCTGTAGCGGCAGCCTTGTCGGACAACCTGCACCGGTCAGCATCATCAGCCACGACATGCCCGTGGCCGCGGGCTGGCCATTTTGCTTACCCCTTATGGGAATGCATCTCCATCTCATTGTTCTGGTTTCCGGAGCTATCTCGCACCGTATGACTGCACTCATCAACGGCCCACCAGTTTCCGGTACCGACGCGGAACTTGTACTGGATCTTTGAGCCTGGTTTGGCAAAGACTTCCTTCCTGAAAACATGGTGCCCTTCCGCATTGGTGGTGTACTCCATCTCTTCTGGCTGCCATGGTGGATCGGAGTAAGTCCCTGCCACAAAAATCGGCGGCCGAGTGTTGGGTCTCTGATACGTTATGAAAGCTGGGATGACGTCGGTCGATGCCATGATGGGCCGTTGGTCGGTCGGCCAGTCAGTCTCGGTAGTTGAGATCACGAGACCGTTGACACATTAAGATCGATGACAGTATTCCTGCTGTGGGCTGATACTGGAACGCCGTGCGTAGGAAAAGGAGAGGGGGAAAAAAAGAAAGGAAAAAAAGAAAGGAAAAAAAGAAATCTGCTGTAGGTGGATGGCGTGAGACTGTTGGGCGTACTGCTGCGGCACAAGATTCCCAAGCTACCCACGGTGGACTAGGAGCTCAGTGTTCTCAGAGCTGGTTAAATACTAGGATGTCAGCGACGGCCAAGACATGTGCCGCAACTAGGTTGTTCTGGAAAAGTTGAGGCGAGAAAGTCTGCGCTTCAGGTATCACGAAATTCGATAGTCAAACAACGAGGCTAGAATTCGAGTGCGGGGCATACATATCACGGCAGGAACGGAGAACAGAGAAGGGATGACGAGGACAAGACTCACACGTCTGTCCATCGGAATTGGAGACGGCTAGGTGTTGCAATGGTCAATGGAGATGAGCTTGTTAGATGACAGCCCTCCTGTGATTGTATAGGGCCAGTCGCCAAAAAGGAGGAAGTGATGACGTGCAGAGGAGCAGTTGAAGATCACGCCAGCAGACGGGACGCATTGGTAAAAAGGAAGCGAGGTGGGGGGGAGTCGGATGTGTGGAATCTTTCGATTGATGACCTGTATTCAGTTGGGAAACCACCTCCACCTTGGCCACTACCCCCCTTTCAGTTCCCGCCCACGTATGTATAGTAACTTGTACGACTGGGCTGGTGACTGCTAGAGTGGTAAGGTACCTTAGGTAGGTAAGGTATTGCCGCAGGCGGCCAACTGGATTGGATGGAATGTGGCTGGCGACTTGAAACAGATTGAAAGAGACGAGAGCTTGACATTGCGAGGTTTCATTGGCTCTTCCTTCCACATTGATCCTTCTCCCGTCAGCTCGCTCGTAAGCTCTCTCTTTCCAGCTCGTCGAATCGCAAATCATCTCGTTGGTTATGCTCCGGGGCCCCTTTCCGATTGTGGGAGATCATGTGCTTAGCAAGCGCAGTCTATGATACTGCAATGAGGTATGCCAGCCGCAGTAAGCCCAGCTGCTATGCCGCGTGGCTCTGAATTCCATGCCCGGTTTAACCATGACCTGAAAGCTCTAAGGGTAGAGAATGGGCAAGTGCGCTGAATGGAGTGCTTGCGGCATGGCATGGGTGTGCACGGGCGTTGGTCGTGGCGATCGCAACGAGCCCCGCATCGTTTAGCTCACGTTAGCGCCGTTGAGGCCCTGTAAGGTTGGCGTCATCGGCGGAACCCAGGGCGGTCGCATCCGGCACAAAGTATTCTGCCCACAATGTCCGC